CCCCTGGTATTGCCGAAGCTACGTCTCACATAATTTTCCTCAGCCCAACACGCACGAGCCCTGGAAAAGGCTCGCATTTAAGGCTCATCTAGTTTTCGGGTCATGGGTCTCTGATGTGAGTAGCGAAAAGAGCCTGCAAGAATGCAATCTGTGTCAAATCCGGGCATGGCTTCGATAACGCCTTTAGCATCGACAGAAGTAACCCATGCGTAGTCAATCCGACCTCCCACTTCACACAGAGGTTGATCCCAACCCAAGGTCACGAGCTATCCAGGACACCACGAACCGTACAAACCGCGCACGGATCCCAATGAAACCGGACAGCGGCGCGACACTAACTACTCTGGGGTTGTTATGGCCTTAGGCTTCCCGAAGGGCCCACCTTTATCAGAGGGGGTTAGAAAAAAGGCGCTGCCTTCTCTGGAAGCCTGACACCGGAACCCCAAACCGAATTTTGACCTTGCCTGGAGTGCCCCAGCTGCGAGAGCTCGAAAACATCTTCAAGCGTAGCGGTTTCCGCGAGGACGAAACCCTCGTTTCAAATCTACTAAAACAGGAAGCCCAAAGCCCAAAGCAAAGCCACAGCCCCACAAGAACTCGATTGAGGCTCGGCGAGTCCGTTGGCAGAGTCTAGTGTCTTCTTCTCTTGGTCAGCTAGGCGGGCGGGAAAACTCCAGAAACTCAAGTCTGCCCCAACCCCGAAACCCTGAGTCAGATTTTAAGAAGCCCCCATGTGGCTTCCGGGTCTGCTTGCGCCTGCGGCCACTGGGCCGGCGCTTCGCGGCCTCCCTCGAAGTGGAGGTGGATTTTCAAGGGCTGAAATTTCGGGATGTTCACGGTTCAGGGAGGTTGACGGTTTAGGCTTTAGGGCTTTAGGGTCCAGGGTTTAATTTAGAGAGGTCTAGGGTCTGGGTGGACATTGTCTGCTTGCAACAGATGCTGGATTGTTTTGCACGTGGGATCGCAGGCATGCTTTACATGGGTGTGGCTATTGCAATACGGCATGCATCTGAATGCCGTGTTAGCAAGCTTTTTATTCATAATTCCAACTGATTTCGCAACGGACAGGCTCGACAGTAGACAGTAGTTGCTTCCAGGAGTTGTGCACTTACAGGTATCAACAGGTTGTGCGTCCTTTCAGTGAATTCAGCAGCGCAGCAGTCACCATGTAAAGCACCACGAAAACCACTACACCTACATAGATCCTGCTCCGAAAATGCTGGGGAAGAAAGTTGCACTGCGAGGTTCCATCCGGCGCTTTGCGGCACCCCGCCGCGGAAGCGCCGTTGAGCCCTTGCCGACAAAAGTGGATTTCAGTAGGGCTCAGGCCTTTGAATCGCCATGGCCTTTGGGAAGCATTGCATATCGCAGTCCTGCAATTCAATGTCGACCAAATTGCCAGAGCACCAAACCCCGTAAGCCCGAGGCTCCTCTTCGATAAAAAGATGGCTCAATCAGGAGAAGTAGTTGGACCCAGGTCGCTTCTGTGTGGAAGCAGGAGCTCACGGGATTTGGGCTTTCTGGGTTTAGGGTGTAACTGCTTGGGTTTTCCTGTGAGAGGTGATGCTCCAAACCTGTCTGGGTTAAGGAAGCCCTTTCTTGTCGGTAAGTTACGTATGCCGAACTCGTGTAGCTATAAGATCAAGCTACACGAGCTTGAACTTGACGTCTTTTTCCTGGAGCTGTATCTAGAAAACTAGCAAGTCATCAAAACCCTTCATGCGTTTTAGACACCCAGAAAACACTTCCTTGAAGAGCTGTTAAGTAACGGAAGGAGGCAGACCATACTTGGACCTGTTCTAATTCGGGTACGTGAATTCTTGCATGTCTTGCCGTGTTGTTTCAGAACAGAGCCTCTCAGGACAGCTACAAGAAAGTGGCAGTTCTTTGCTCCACCTGTGGTGAGCTTTTGGTGCGAGGCTTAAAAGCATGGCGGACGAACTTAAGACTTTCTTTGCAGAGCGGTGTAAAGCGTAATACAAAGTGTCCTCAGTTCGGGTGCCAAACTGCGCAGACGGTCTCCGGAAGGTAAGATCGCCAAGCGGTCAGACGGCAAAGCATGGTACTGGGGCTAAGGTTAACATGCGGACTCAAACTTTGCGGCAGGGGGTTCACAGGTGGCGAAGGGCAGTTGCATGGACTCTTCCTCCAGCTTCAGCTTTGGCGATCGTCGATTGATGGTAGGCCTAAGCGTGCCTGCAAGCCTCCCTCCCAGCGATTATTCTCCAAAGTGTGCGTGAGGCTCACCCCTTGTGTCCACGTTTTCGATCAGAGTCTGCTTGTGTGTTGTGTCTACAGCATTTGGTGATTCGGGCAAGGCCCTCTACCGCAAGCGAAACGGTACGAAGTCTTCGCTTGTGTGGCCCCCAGCCGCCAGAGACGTAATAAGAGCCAGGTCCGGGTGGAGTTGGGTTTAGTATTTCTAGTCAGGCTCGCTGTGACCCACCCTGGTTTGGGCATGCAGCTTCAGGCCCTTAAACTTAGAGGCTTTGGGGTGTCTAGCTTTCACTGGCAGCGGGCAGTGGCTGGTGGTGTATGCTTTCGGGCTTTCTCACGCAGGATCGTACACGCTGTCAGAAGTACTTATCTGCATAAACAGTCTTCTTGGGGCCGTTGGATTTTTTGCCGGCTTGATCGGCTTGCTGTCGAACGGCGGTGCAGCAGAGCTTGCTTGCTGTGCTCGATCGACCTCAGGAGTCTCAGGGCCAGTACTCCACATCGCCCATTATATTAGTTTCAAGCGACGGGCTCATGCCAGGAATACATGATGCCGGGTTGCGGGCGGGTCTCGGGGCAGACAATTGTCAGATTGGCTTGTTTTGGTGCCACGAATGCCGCGACATCAGAGAGCAAACCTGAATCCAATTCTACATCTCTACTGATTTAGAACGCCACAGCCCGATCAACAATCTCCAGGTTAGCTCCCTCGGCATTAATCGACTACTGTGGCATGTCCAAGGGTGAGTGCTGAGAAGGGAATCCCAACTGTTTCGCGCTCCGTCGCATAAAGATATTTCTCGCTACTATTGCCAGTACTGTTATTGCTGCTGACGCTCAACTTTCATACTTATTCTATGTGTGTATATGCCGATGGAGGCAGGATGCCTGTATGCCCACTGGCCAAATTGGGGTGCGAATTTCCGCAACATCTTTGGTGAGTCTGAATCGGGCTTGACAAAGAATTTGAAGAAAGCCCGCTGGAAGCCTGCTCGGCCGAAAGCTGCCAAGTAAATGAAACAAGGGTTCTTGCGCTGGTTTGAGACATATTTCCCGCTTTTTCGAATATCTTCAGCGTCTGGACGAGGGCCCCGACAATTGAGATTTGTAGCCGTCGTCGCAGTCGCAGTTGTTAGTGTTGTAGTCGTCGCTTAGTTGCAGCAGCGCAGAGCAGTAGAAGTGGTACAAGTGAAGGAGTAGTAACAGTAGCAGCAGTAGTAGCAGCAGCAGAGCAGCAGCAGCAGCAGCAGTAGAAGCAGAACCAGAAGTAGAAGTAAGTAGAAGACAGAGTAGGAGCAGAAGTCGTAGTACTAGTACTAGTACTAGTACTAGTACTAGTACTAGTCCTACTCCTACTCCTACTCCTACTCCTACTCCTACTACTGCTGCTGCTGCTACTAGTACTACTGCTACTACTACTACTACTACTACTACGACGACGACCACTACCACTACCACTGCCGCTACCGCTGCGGCTATGGCTAAGGCTACTGCCACTGCTACTGCTGCTACTACTACGACGACTACGACCTCGACTGCTACGACTACGACTACGACCACCCCTACTAACTGCTGCTGCCATTGCCACTGCCAGTGCCGCTGCTTCTACTGCTGCTGCTGCTGCTGCTGCTGATGCTGCTGCTACTGCTACGACGACTACGATTACGACAACTACTTCCACTGCGCTTGTTCCTACGTTTACTTACTACTTCCCGTATTGCTACGACGACGACGACTACTGCTGCTACTACTACTACTACTACTACTACTGCCGAACGAAAGTTGTTTTGAATCTTGCCTGTCAAGATTTCTTGCTGCACGTTGGGAGCATCCAGGTAAGAGTCGCACTCCGGGCATTTGAGATGAATGCGTCCTTGACAGCACTCCCGACACATGTGAAAGCTGTTATACCTAGGAGCATGCTGGGCGACAAGAAATGACAAGGCAATTTCTGTATTTGGAGGCTGCAGGCCCTCGATCCGGATGGGAAGAATCTTTGTCGTGTAAGGTCATAGGGTGAATATCAAAGCCTTACACAACCACTTGGTAAACGACCTCGAAGCTACACATAGATTTGGGCACCTCGTGGTGTGTGCTCTGTGAAATGTACTATGTACATCAGTGGCTAATTTAATAAACCTTTCATTCAAGTCCTGGTCATGTTGCAGACTGCGCACTCCGAACCCCTTGGGTCCGCCCCCGAACTACCTCGGACTTCGGACCAGAGTTTCTATCTCGATGTCTCTTTCATTCAGCATGTCAATGGGCTGCTGGAGGCTTCCCCATACCGGATCAGCTTTGTTTGCTCCCTGTGCTGGTGCTGCTGAAAATTCAAGTGTTCGCCGGCCAACTCTGCACGAACATCACTGGCGCAGCTGCTTTTGGCTAGTGCATTTGCGCCTTTGGTTTGGGGAAGCGTTTTCCCGAGTGTCGTGTTGGCAAACCTTCAGCCTTCAGAACGGGTCGCCACGGGCATTTCAGAGGAAGGAGGCATGCATTCGAGGCTTTGAGAGCGCAACTGGGCGAAGTAGGGCGAGGTCAGTGACAGAAATCGCCCCAGAGAGCTGAGGCAGGGGCAAGCAGGGGCAAGTGGCAGATCGTTTAGCAATCCAAGCTTGCTCCGACGTATACACCGCTTTCTGTGTCAAGTCTTCTCGTCTTCTTCGGAAGCACATGCGAGGATCGTTTACTCCATTGAGAGCGATGATGCAGCCGCCCAGGACTCAGAAAGCTGCGCGCAAGAAGATTGACTGCCTTCTGAAGTGCCTTGCCACGGCAGCAAGGATAACACCGAAGACTTGGATGGCAAGCCGCAGTTGATCCAGGCATGGGTCCCATGGGATTAGCGGCAAGTGAAGCCCTTGTCATCATGTTCCCATTTGTCCATGTTGTTGGCGAGCCCGGTGAGACACGTGGTGGCAGTGCCAGGAAAAGGCGAACTGAACGGCGGATCATGGTTTTGTCATCTAGGGTCGGTGTATCTCTGGCGGGTGCCATGGCTGCCTCGTCGACTCGTCGGAGCATCAGTGGCTCCCCGGCACGGCATGCGGTGGAGGGATCGTTTGTCCTTGGGGAGAACATGGAGAGCTGTCGTCGGTTTTGGACCCCCGATCCTCCGTTTATCTCCGTTTCTTCGACCCGGGGACTCTCCACAGCCGCAGCTTGCAACGCGCCGAAATGTCGTCGTTGTCGGATCCTGGGAAAAGGGTACTGGCCGCAACGGTGACAGTGAGCTTCGCCAGTTTTCAAGCAAGCATTCATGCGATCACTTTTCGGCAAAGTGGGCCCATTGTTTCCAGACGTCAACCGCGAAATCCCAAAACTTGATTCTAGCCATGCACCGAAAACCCTAACCGCACAACATCGCAAGACCCTGAGTCTCCTGGACACCCTACCCAAATCCCCCCTAAACTCCATGTCCCGCACTCTCAACCCGAAACCTAGACCCTAAACATAAACTTTCTTTCTGTCTTATGAAGCATGTCAAAGCTTTGCTGACTATGTGCCGCACGAATGGTGCACAAAGCAGCTTCAATACGCAACAAGAAATAGCAGCCTTCCAAGATGTTCATGAAAGGGTTACTGTACAACAAGCCTATAGCCGTTGAAGCGGTGGCTGTTTCAACTCCAAGTCCAACTTACACATAGCTGTACCGGACGCAATGAGCTTGGCCCGGAGTCACTGCAGAACCACAACCATGCCTGGCATGGAAGGCCTCGGGGTGATGCCTGCTACGTTAGGTGAGTACCCAACTACAGCCAAAGAGCGTACGGAGCAGCGAAACTGTACATCCCAAGCAATGACCCTTGCGCAATTAAATGCTTCAAGAGGCACGTCCATGCGCGTACGTCACGGCTGACACAAGCAATGGCTTGAGTCTCACAAGCATCCTTAGTAATCCGAACTGGAAGCGACAAGCAGCACAAAACACTCTCTTCAATGAAGAAAGAACGCATACAATAATGCGCTTTCATGCGAACTCTGCAGGACCTGTGCTTCTGAAGTGTCTCAGTAGAGGAAAGCCAAATCAGGTGGAACAACCCTTGTAACAGAGGTGACACTCGCTCACGAATTTATTTACGAACGGGACATCGCCAACATACAAGAGTATGTCAAGGCTGCATAGTCCCAGGACCAACACAGCTTCCGTTTCTGGTGAGTTTCGCACGTTTTCGACGTTCAGGGCATCCGCGCATTTCAAACATGGCAGTAGCGGGCATGTAGCCGTGATCTGCATAATTGGCCGTGGTTACAACACGCACAGCATCCACCGAGACAGCACTGAGTGCAGCTTCTGCTTGGTGGCATGTTGGAGCAACAGAACATCTCGGCATTCAGTTTTGAGGAAGGGCAGGTGCTCCGGCCTACCCCAACCAACCGCAAGAATCACAGGCACCATCTCACCTTTCCGAGGGCGGCGTGGGGATGCTTTTCTTGTTGGGGGGTTGGGGTTGCAGTAGCTATTTGCATCAACACTACGTTGAATGGTCGTGCGGACAAGTAGTTTCAGCTCCCTGACGGCCCTCTCTGAAGCCCGAGGCTTTGCAGAATGTGTTTTACAAGATGCAGTTGTCCGACCAGGCGTTTTCGACAGTTTGTCTCGATATGTTGCTTCATGCAACAGACTTCTCAGGCAGTGAACTGCAAGGAGCTCATGAAGCAACTCACCCGCAAAGTGCCTATCCTCATGCACCGTGCAAGCTCCACAGCAGTTTGCTGGCAGGTCTTTTGGGTGGGATACGATGGATGCATTCACCCAGCACGATGCGCAGGCACGAGAAAAGATGCAGAGGGCACTTGAACTTGAAGCAAAGGTGTCGTGACGTCTTTGGTTTTTCTCTTTGAACGTGCGAAGGAGTTGAATCGAATTCTGTGCGATCGGCTGGAGGCGTCCCGCCTTGCACAATGTTTGGGAAAGGCACTGTGTTGACACCAAAGGAGAGGATGAAGAACACTCCTTCGGATGGATCCATCAAGCGACTCTTTGAAGGTGGTTGCCATTGTTCCCATCAGTTGCTGCAATCCCCAAAGCCTCTTGGACCACGAGGTGAGATGGAGAACTATATTGAGTGTATGGACGTGGACTACAAGCCTGGAGCTTGTGGATGCTTCAGTGATCTCAAACGGCTCACCTGCCGAGGTCTCGACGCAATGAAACTTTTTACGACATACAGCTGACCATCAAGTCTCAAAGGGGCCAGGCCGAGACAGAGAGAGAGAGGGAGAGAGAGAGAGAGAGAGAGAGAGAGAGAGAGAGACATGCGGAGATCACATCCCCCAGCTCCCTGGACAATGACGACTAAAGTGTGGTCCCTTTGCGTGCCTAGGCTGTTTACCCTTTGCCCAAATCGTCGTCCGGGGAGCTGTGGGAACTCAAGCTAGGGGTCTGAGGCCCTAGTGCAAAAGAACAGCAGCGCGGGCCCTAGGTCTCAGCTAGCTCATGTGTAGGCTATCTTTGTTCAGGTCCTCCTAGTACTGCTCCGCTGTGTCGTGCAACCTAGGGCCCGAGATGGAGGCTTCAGGGGGGGGTGGGAAGGCCAGGCAGTGCTGCGCGAGGTTCAGTTCGGGCTCAGGTGGGGAGGCAGGTTAGGCTGGGATTGAGAGTTCGCAGAACAGTGCCGATGGAGTGGAGCTCCGGAAGGCACAACACAGAGAGCGGGGAGCAACGCATGTTGGTGGTATGTGTCAGTAGCTGTAGTTTGTGGAGTTGCTCGCCGCCGCTCAAGGGATTTTCGCTCGGGGGACACTGGCCGTCGTGCAAGTTTGCTGGAAGGTAGCTGCCTTGTAGGTTGTCTTTATGGAAGGAAGCCAGTTCCCTCGCTAGTTGCTCCGAAGATGACTGGATGACCTCAGTGGGGCCTACAAGGTTGTGCATGGTTATGGTCTTAGGAGGGGTGTTCGGTGGGGACGAGGGGTTACAGGCACACTGAGGGGAACAGCCTCATCTTCACCCCGGAAAGGGCTACCGAACGAACTTGCGCGGACCTTTGAGGGGGTTGGCCTTCGGGCCGGAGGGTTCGCCCTCAAACCCCAAGCAAGCAAGCAAGCAAGCAAGACATGCGGAGACTTTGACAGGGCGCACTCGAGCGCGGTAGGGGGGCAACTCCCCACCCCAGCCCTCGCGAAAGAAAGACGCTGACAGACTCGGGGAGTTCAGGGCTCCAGCCTAAAAGGAACTGCAGAACATCGCTGAGTCTCTTCACGATTTCACGGCAGAGGAGTCCCTTTTGCAGAGTAGGGCTTTCGGAATGTTCCCTTTCTGCGTGCTGGATGTAGATGGATTTGCTATCAGGAGACGCTGGAAGGCGACAATGCATACGAGGTCTTGGGTCGGCGTCCTTTGTCTTTCCTTGCGAAGCATGCTAGAACAGAGACTTTTTGAAAAACCTCTTGACCACAGGCCGAGGGCTATGGAAAGCAACGTGCAAAGAGCCTTGGACACATCAAATCCCTCGTTGCAGCAGGATTGCTTGATGCAGAGTCGGGCAATCACCGTGATCTAAGGAAGGGCATTCGTTTTCTCAGGCTGCTTCCCAAATTGGCATTGGAGTCGTTGTTTCATTTGCCGTGACTTGCAGCTTTGCGTCGGGACTTATGTACTGTCCAGACACTCCTTGTCCAGCCCGGACAGGTTCCCACCAGTGTTGAACCTGCAGCTGAAACGCTTCCACTTTGACCTGGAGAAAATGGACATGGCGTGGATCTGATTCGATCGAAACTTTGTAGTCAGAGGATTATGTCACAGTCTTCGCTTTTTCTTTCTGTTGGGACTCCATAGAAATCCCAACAGCACTTCTGACCGCTGTCAAACGTCGACAGGTGAAACTGAATTCCCGCTTCGAATTCCCACGCAAGCTCGACCTCAGCCCCTTCATGCCAGATGCAGGCAACAGAGGGATCAGGTCTGGAAAGATGTGAAGCAGCATGCCATACGAACAGAAGTCATGGAGGCAGATACAACCTATTCGCAGTTGTGGTCCACAATGGGGATGTCAACAGCGGGTATGCATCTTAGCTCGACGGCCAACGGGCAGCATGATCTTGGGTTACGCAGCTGGTGCTAAAGGCATTACTATGCTCATATCCAGCCAGATCCAGAAAGAGGATGGTACCGCTGGCTGGTTTGAACTTGGAACACCAAATCGCCCAGTGATCCCTCGCAGCTGGCGAAGCAGGTTCAAGTTCGATGATGAGATGGTGACCCCATGCAGTGAATTCGCTGCTATAGAAGATAACTACGGAGGAGAATGCTGTGCTGGCTGATTGCTTCAGAAGCTTGTTTGTTTGCGTTGTGCACATGTGCAGGAAGTGATCTCGGAGTCTGGAACTACTTCGACCACGGACCCCATGAACTGCCTGCGACTCGGTGTCCTGAGCTCGTCGTTCCCCGACTGTGGATACATGAGATTTTGTTGATTTGCATGCTGCTGTACGGGCAACGGAAGTACAACGAAGTCGTCGCTTCATATATCCTCGGAAACCAACCTCAGGCGAAGCGAATCGAAGCGATTTGATGAGGATGCCGTTCCAGCAGGCAACTTTTCAAATCACTCGCGCATCTAGGAGCTGTCAAGTCGAATGTTCTTATCAGAACCTGTATGTAAGTGGAAGTCAAGGATTTGGAAAATATACAAGCTGGTGAAAACTCGCTGTTGTCCAAAGATAATGTTCGCTGGTAGAAAATTTCAGGGAGGTGCATACATGCGTGCTGAGGGGTCGCAAGCTTTGCAACCAGTTTCGCGTGTGACGCGGTGCATGTTGGCTCGGGGCTAGCTTTTGTTGCTTTTCAGCACTTGACGTAGTCTTGGCATGGTTAGGCCAGTTGAGTGTCAAACGGTTCTTGCTGAGTTTTCACTTGCCGCCTATTCGATCTTGTAAGTAATTCGGCAATTCTTTGCATGGCACCTGTTGGCCTGATTTCCGTCGCATTTTGAATCCCTTGCAGAGATCTGTTGCGTGCCAGCAATGTTATTGGCACTGTCACCGTTCCTGCTTCCCTTTAGAGGCTTCGATGTTTTCGGTCGGTCGTTTGAAGGTGTTTACTACAATAGCATTGGTGCTAGCACGTAGTTTTCTGTTCAGTTTTGCGTGCTTTTCGGTCCTTACGGTTTGGGCTGCAGGCCAAGGCTACTTTGGTACCGGGGCCACGACGAAGACCACTTTTTTCCAAACGGTGGACTTCTCAAAATACAATCAGAAAAAAAGATCCACCCGTTAGTTACGAAATGTAAACCTAGGGCACCCGAACCCTGTACAAAGTTCGTCCTCGGACTTGCATCTTAGCTTGGCATTGCATACGAATACGTCGGCTGTGTGGCAAAACCGCCGGATTGGAAGCAGTCTGAGGCATACACAATGAAAACACTTGAAAGCCTCCCGTCAAGACGCGAGACCTGGGCCATCAGCCATGCGGCGGGTTGGTTTCTTGGTTTCTTCCCTTGCCTGAGGGTTCAAGGGTATAGATTCAATTTTTTGGCTTTGCGGTTGCACCGTGTTTGGGGTGTAGGCGGAGCGCTGGACTTTTCCGTCGGAGTTGCGGGGAGAAGTTGAGTGTAGCCCGTGTTGCTCGTCTGATCCGTCCGAACCCGCATGCTGGAACGGCAGGGTCGTCCGAACATGTCTGAAGTTGCGACATGTCAGGATGATATCCAAATGGTCTTTGTTTGTGGATGTTTGCAGTTTAGAACGTGCTCTCCTAGACGACACATTCCAGCCTCGATAATTGAGCATGCAAGTTTCAGTCTGTAAGCTACCGCATGAGTGATTCGTGAATGATTCGTTTTGTCATCTGCTACCATCCGGATCGATGGCTCGAGTGTGCAAACTGCTTTATGAATTTGTGTCGAGCCGCGAGTTCAGGCGCGGCATGGCTCCACATAGCAAGCCACGGATTCACAACGCGTGACTTGGATGATTTCATAATCTCAGCATCTGCCTAGCTTGTTGTTTCTGATATTTGTAATGGTGCTTGCGTAATCATCCCGCAGGTATTTGCTCATGTACATCCGCGAGGTGAACTTCGGCATGTGTCCATGTCATCACATGTGTAACCATTTACTGCCATAATCGAACATGTGTGTTTGTCACAGCCCCAGTCGCGACCGTGTACGAAGCATCCGAAGCGTGCGAGACGCTGGAAGCATCGAAGGATCTGAGCAAACATATCCTGACACCTCCAGATCCCAAGGCCGGCAGATCCAAGTGCCCCTGCATCCGACAGCAACATGATGTGACAAGCAACACCCTTGGCGCCACAGGTTGTGAGCCCGAAGCTGGTAGATCGCATTGACCGCGAGGCACGACTATTCAACTAGGGCATGCAGAGACACACAACAAAATATGTTGTGGTGTGTCAGGCCAATCGACTAGTTGTTGAGCCAGCCCAATGATGTAGGAAAAGCCTGCTCACAGACACAGTCGTGCTCTTTTCCTTCCAGTTGAAAGGTTCGTTTGGCGGAGCAGCGCCGCAGGGAGAGGGTTGAACAACAAACCAAGATCAGGAGCCGCGATTCGACACTGCATCTCAATTCTAGGATAGTCTAGACTCTAGACTTCTGCTTCTGCAAGAGTCGTCGCGAAAGGATCAAGTTGGTGACCGAAGCCGACCTGTGCCAAATGACTGGTTTCTGGGACCACCAGCAAGTCCCGCGTGGCTCTCAACGCGTTTATGGTCGGTGTTCGCTTGTCGGACAGGCTTTTGGCACTGCCATCCAGCCTGATGTTGCCATTTGCCGAAATGTTTGTCAGTGTCGTTGTTGCTGATAGGGGGCAGTTTTGGCTCGTCTTTGGTTGTCTCTTTGTGGCGCGCGGCTGCCGTCTCGATCCAGGCGGCTTGGGGCAGCCGGGAGTGCACGAAACGCGGTGCTACGGTCGTTGTCCGAGGTCCCTCCTTCCACTGGAGAAGGGCGTTCGTGTAATACTCTGCTTTGTTGAGTCCCACCTCGAATCCTTTTTCCAGGGGTCACATAGGGGTGCTTCGAAGAGGGGAAACTGTGGAAACGAAGCTCCCGTGATGCTGATGCTGGCCTTTCGGAGCGCCCTCTTGGGCTCGAGATTGACTCCTGGAGGCATCGTCATCGACCGAAGCACACTGCTAGCACAGACGCAACCGCTGCTGCGGAATGCCTTGGCATTATGTAAAGCCTATCGTCCTGCCCCTCCCCCGCAGGCACAAGTTAAGCATGCTGCATCATGCTGCATGCTGGCATCGACTTGGGCAAAGATGTTGAGGGATCCTGGCTAGATTCGCGACAAGGTGCAGTCAAACGTACAAGTTCGGACGGGAGAGCCCTGTGAAGGAGTGTGCCCCTTATCATTGCAGATGACTGCGAATTCCTAATGATCTGGTTCACGCTTTTGCTGGAACTGGCAGGACCTCATGGAGCAATTTAGCCAAGAGACGGGCATTGACCAGAGCCTGGGCTTAACGGAACCCTTCACACCAAACGAGTCGACAAGCGAAGGGCACTCTGGGGCATTCTGAGACTGTGAAAGACTCAAGGAATCACATGGCTTTGTTCGTGCTTCAGTGCGTCCTGCGTGTGTTGTGCGTCACTGATTGTCGTTGAATGTTTGCGGCTTGGTTGAGCCGTCCGCGACAATTTGAAAAATCTGGAGGTATCGTTCCTCACCTCCTCAAATCAGATTCGGGTACATGCAGCTCGACAGCGCGTTCAAGCATTGGGCCAAGCCGCTGCAGTTTCTTGTTCGTGGATGAGCCCTTATTCAGTAGCCAACTAGTCGTGCGAGGTTGCACATCCCTCCATACGGGGCTCCTCACTTTGATGTGAGTGATCCCAGTCTGCTTGTCCTCGTGGTTATGTCACGAGGATATAGCGCGGGGGGCTTGGCTTGGAAACGGTGGAGGTCTACAAGTGAACGGCTTTGCCAGACGCCGATAATCAGGTGCGCAGCCTCAGATGGAGCAGAGAGGCCGGGATGATGCATCGAGAATGGTTCACCCGAGTTGTGGTCTAACCGTCACTCGACACTTACTAGTATTCGTGCTTTTACAAACAGCCACCACAATCTCAGGCTCGTGGCTATGGGCGTGCCTGTTTGTGTACATGCTACGGCCAAGAGACATGTTTCCTTCAAAACTAAAGTTCCTGCGACATCCACATACGGACGCTACGGATGCGATCACTGTGAAGAACCTTCAGTACCCGTCGCATATTCAAGATGTCAACAATACAATGATTGTATGAATTATATGTTAAGAAGTAAGACTCAAAAGGGGGAAGGACATCGAAAGGCATGTCTATATAACAAGTACAAGAGTTTACTGGCGTATTCAAGCGTGCCGGGCCGTTACCGCAGCTTCAGAGTACTGATATCTTACAGCCTATTGAAGTTGCACGCGACTGTGGCGAGAATGTGATGTTTAAAGGTGGAAACCTTCGAAGCGGCCCAAAATATGCACGGCACTATGGCGGGAGCACAATTCTAGATAGTTACTGACGCTATCGATTCGGCTTCTGGCGCAGGTTTTGGAGGGGGTAGCATATGTATATATATATATATACACATGTGGAGGGGTCCTTTATGTATAATGTGACCCGTTGGTTTCTGTGATGTTAATAAATATAAATACAAATATAAATATAAATATAAATACAAATTTATATACAAATATATACATATATATGTATATGTATACCATAAACCGAAGGCATGTGCAAACTCATTATGCCCAACCTCTTGTGACCTCTCGCACTCTCGCGTGCTCAAAGCATGCTCAGCGATTGCCATGCAAAAAATTCGTTTGTGTGCTTGCCTTTCTATGCGAGGCCACCTGGGTTTAACGTGCTTGAAGTTGATGTTTCCAACAATTTAAAATTTATTGCCCGGCACATGCGACTCCAAAAGTGTTGGCGAGCTTCTAGTACTAGATGTCCGACCTCACGGTCTGCGTGTAACGAAAACCGCTCCCGCGCACCGTAACCGAAACCCACGGCCGACAACAGAAACGCGACAGGCGGGAGCGGCCAACGGAAACCAGC